GATGAAATGTTAGTGGGGTATAGATTTCCTAGAACCTTCATTCAAAAAGTGCTAAAATGTGTTAGAACTCCTATGTATCCGATTTCCCTAAATGGTGAAAACTGTGGGTTCTTTCGGGGAAAGCGGAGTCTGAGGCAGGGAGACCCCATGTCCCCTTTATTGTTTGTGCTTGTCATGGAATATCTTACTAGTCTGTTGGCTGAAGCGGCAGAGGATAAGCAGTTCAAATTTCACCCGTAGTCTAAGAGACTAAAGTTAACCAATATTTGCTTTGCAAATGATCTTATGATCTTCTACAAAGAAGATATGTATACTGTTTCCAAGATTGTAGAAGTGCTGAACAAATTTCCAGGAACAACAGGCTTGGTGGCTAATACAGCAAAGTCCCAAATCTTCTTTGGTGGTGTTTCAGAGGATCTCCAGGCCCAACTTTGTAGCATTACAGGATTCCAAATGGGAAAATTCCATGTGAAGTATCTTGGAGTGCTGTTATCACCCAAGAAGTGGAATCAAGCTGACTGTGATGTATTGGTGCAGAAAATCACTGCAAAAATTAGGTTTTGGAGTACAAAGCATCTCAGCTATACTGGTAGATTACAGTTAGTTAATTATGTATTGTTGTCCATTAGTAATTTCTGGGCTTCTGTTTGCTTGTTACCTCATAATGGAACTCAACAGATAAATAGAATGTGTAGAAGTTTTCAAATCTCTTATACTCAAACCACCTTCTTTCTTCCTTCTGCATACCTGCTCCCAATTCACCAATGCCACACTTTGAACATCTTTCTTTCTTCCTTCTTTCTTCCTTATTGGTAGTATAGAGGAGTTGAATGCTGTTGATTTCATTTGGGAAAGATACAATGTGCCAAAATATTCTTTCATAGTGTGGATGTTCTGCATAACAGATTGCTCGCTAAAGAAAGATTGTTTAAAATAAATATATTGACGGATGGGCTAGATAGTATATTCTGTCAGAATCAGATGGAATCCTCCTCCTATCTATTTTTTGAGTGTAAAAATTCTGTTGAGTTACTGATGGAGATAGGCAAGTGGCTGAAACTGCCAAATTCTCCATACAATCAAATGGCTTGGAGAAGTTTTGTGCTGCAATGGTGCAAAAATAGAAAACTGAGAAGGAGAATCTTGTTTCAACAATGGCGGCGACTATATACCAAACTTGCGAAGAAAGGAACCAAAGAGTGTTTACAGGAAAGTAGAGAACAGTGGAGGTAAACTTTAAACATATTCCGCAAGAAGTCCTCTGGAGGATTGAGTACTGTTTGGGGCACAAAAGATTAAGTCATGATGAAATTTTTTGAAAGCATTATATTCTTAGTTCATGTGTATAGTATGTTTCAGTTTTGATAGAAAATAGATAGCAGCTTGGTCCACTTTGGTGTAAATATGAACTTTCTAGATTATCAATACATATTTACGTTTTACCCCCCAAAAAAAAAACTACTTTTTATTTTCTGAAAACTCGTCTTTGCTCTTCAAAGGTTGAAAGTAGTTCTGCTAGAGATATTTCTGATAAATCTCTAATTTCTTCAAGGTACGAAATCTTGGACTCAAATCTTTCTGGCCACCTATATTTTTTCAACAACTCAACTATCAGGAAGTTGTTCTCCCAAAAGTCTGATTTTATTGACTACCTTCATCAATCAATCTGTGTAGTTCTTCAATGGCTCTGTCCCCGGCATCTTTTGCATTTCAAATTCCTTTTTCAAATTCAAGATTTGCATTCGCTTTGTCTCTTATTGCCTTGATATTTGTTTCAAAATATCACATGCCTATTTCGCAGTCTCACGAGTCATGATTTTTGTGAACACCTCTTCTGATACAGCAGAGTGAATACATGTATTGGCCTTGTTCCGCCTCTTTTTAGCCTCCTTGAATTTTTTGATTTGTGTAATTGTTAGATCTTCAGGAATTAGTTAAAATTCATCATTTTCCACCAACTCGCATAATTCATTTGCTTCTAGATAGGCTTTTATTTTGACAGCCCAAATATGATAATTTTTTTCTTTAAAAATTGGAGTAGACATGAAATTATTCCCTCCTTCCATTGATAAAAGAAGATTGGCTAAAAAAAATTATTTTTGTAGAAAGGTCTTCACGGATTCACTCACACAGGTCTGTCAAATTGAATCTAAGCTCTTGATACCACTTTGATAGGAAAAAGAGCAAAAGAACATATATTTTTAAGAACGAAAAAATTTTATCAGAAGAGAGTTGTATTTTATTTTATGAGAATTCTAATTTATAGACAACTCTACAATAACAAAAAAAAAAAATCACTCTCTAATTCTTAAAATATCTCTAAAACTCTAGGTTCAAATACTAAAAAATCTCCAAAACTAACTCAACCAAACTAATTTAGATAAATCTCAATCCTAACTAAAAAATTTATACCTCTAGTTAAATCTTTGCAGTAAAAAAATAATTACGCCATCAGTAACAGAAACTTGCCAAAACAGTGGAATATGCAATTAGAAGAATTCAGGGGATAATCAATGAACGACAACCATTGGAATTGAAATATCCAAGAAATCCCCTTGAATTTGCCAAAGGACGAGTAGAACAAGTCAGTACTTACGATGAGAAACAATTGAGCTCATTAAGTATAAATTCTCGGGTTTCTTTGGATTCCAAATATTCATGCGTCTATTTTGTAGCCATCAATCTCTATACTCTCTGTAGAACAATGTTTATAACAATAGTGTCTATTGGTGATTCTCTGCTTAGAAATTATGTTCCAATAGTAAATGAACAAAATACCGGAAATCCACGCATCACACTTTTGAAGCCAAGATCGAACAATAAACTAATCAAGTGGTAATCAATTTAAAACCTTTTCCATAAAGTCACAAACATAATTTAAGAGCGAATACAAATCCAATGTCTAGATAGGCCCAAGGCAACCGGACATCTATAGTACTTAATTAAAATAGCAAACAAAAATGACATGTGTCATCATTACAATGAAAATTTTCCCGCTAAAAGTTATTTTCAGTACAAAATCATTTTTGACATGTGGCACTCTAACTAATCAGAAAAAAAAAAGATGAAATAAATAAATCCCTTAATTATAACTACATAAAAATCCATTAATTATAGGTATATAGTAATCTCTTAATCTATAGTACTTAATTAAAGCAGCAAACAAAAAGGACATGCGTCATCACTATAATAAAAATTTTCCCGCCAAAAGTCATTTTCAGTACAAAATCATTTTTGACATGTGACACTCTAATTAATCAGAAAAAAAGGATGAAATAAATAAATCCCTTAATTATAGCTACATAAAAATTCATTAATTATAGGTATATAGTAATCTCTTAAAACAATAATATTGAGTTGATAAAATTAAATATCAGAAAATCTCCTTAAATCAAGTGAAACAACACTGCCACTCAATCTCAAATGATCTTTTCCATTCCACTCCTCTCTCAGACTCGGGCCTTCAAATCAACTACATAAATTCTGACATCAATTATCAATTCATCTATTTCTACGACAGAGGAAAAAGAAGTGGTCATGGAAATAAATTTGATTTTTTCAGGATGATTTGTTCTTTTTATTCTTCTGTTTTAGATATTTGATTTATAAGTTATGTAAATCCGGGTATAAGTTAACTGTTATAAACCGCGACATAGGTTTATGTATAATAACTCAGTTCCTGTCCTTTTAATTGATTTTTTATTTTTCTATTTTTTATTCTTTTAAAAATAATTTATTTTTTATCTAACCGAATTAAAAGTAAAGACGGCACCCCGGGCGAGGGCATTCGCCCAGGGCAAGCATCTAGTAGTCATTGAAGGCGACGGTACATGCAACCCAAAGCTCTTCAAAACATCTTTTACATTCCGATCACCAAAGACAATAGTGGTATTCTTTTTTTCTTTTTCTTTTTTTTAAAAAGAATAGTAGTATTCAGTTGTGTATTGGTTCTTCAGTTTCAACTAATAATTGTAAGCAACAGTCGGAAAAGGGATCAACTGTATGTATGTTCCGTTAAAGCTTTGGCCACTAACACCTTGGCATTTGTTCAATTACTACTACTAAACAGTAATATTCTACTAGATGCTTGCCCCGGCGAATGTCGGAGTGTCATGTATTTTTAAATTGATTAAATAAAAAATACGAATCATTTTTAAAAAAATAAAAAAAAAATAGAAGAATAAAAAATCGATTGAAATGACAGAATGTGAGCTATTACACATAAATCTATGCGCAGATTTACAACATTTAATTTATAACAGTTAACTTATGTCCGGGTTTATATAAATCATAAACCAATATCTACAACAAAAGAATAAAAAAAAATCATCCTTAAAAAATCAAATTTCTTTCATGACAGCATATTTTTTCTCTGTTGTAGAAAGAGGTGGATTAATAATTGATGTCATATTTTATGTAATTGGTTTAAATGTCCGGGTGTGAGAGAGAAGCAGAATGGAAGAGATTCTTTGAAATTGAGGATTGGAAAGACATTACTGGTGTTTCACTTGATTTAAGGAGATTTCCTTTCATTTGATTTTATCAACTAAATATTATTGTTTTAAAGGATTAGTATATACCTATAATTTAAGATATTTCTATGTAGCTATAATAAGGGATTTATGTATTTATCTATTCTATCTTTTTTTTTCTGATTAGTTAGAGTGCCACATGTCAAAAATGATTTTGTACTGAAAATGGCTTTTGACGGGAAAATTTTCATTGTGGTGCAGACACATGTCCTTTTTGTTTGCTGCTTTAGTTAAGTACTATAGATTTGTCCCAAAATAATTGTCTAATTTAAATTTTTATATTTAATACGTTTTGGAATAGAGAAAACACATATTTAGTCCCCAAAAAAAACAGTACATTTTGTTTTAGTAAAAAATACAACTTTGTATACAACAAAGTTGGACAATTAAAATAGTCCCAGAATACATAAAGCTTTATTAGAGGAACCTATGGAGGAGGAACCTCCCTCATGTACTTGAAACTTTTTATTACTCCTCGGTTGTTTGGTGGCTAACAAGAGAAAAGTATGCTCCTTCCGGACCTTTAGCCATCAAAGAAGAATGAGTGCCTTTCTCCACCAATTCACCTTTGTCCAAAACTACAATTGTGTCACAATTCTGAATCGTACTTAACCGATGTGCCACAACCAAACTTGTCCTTCCTACCATCGCTCTCTCAAGTGCTTCCAATACGGCCTTCTCGGAATGACTATCCAGCGCGCTTGTTGCTTCATCTAACAGCAATATTGTTGGGTTCTTTAGTGTAGCGCGAGCTATGGCAATTCGCTGTTTTTGACCCCCTGATAATTGCGAACCATTATCCCCACAGAACGTATCATACCCATCTTTCAATCCTGTAATGAAATCATGAGCCTTGGCTGCCTTGGCTGCCTCGATGATTTCTGACTCGCCTACATCTGCTGCTGCACCATATGTGATATTTTGGCGTATGGTACCGGAAAACAGGACAGGTTCTTGACTTACAAGTGCAATGTGTTGTCTTAATGTTCTCAAGTGATAAGATTTCACATCCCGATTGTCAATCATCACAATGCCTTTTTGTGGATCGTAGAACCTTTCAATCAAGGAGATTATAGTTGATTTCCCTGACCCGCTTTTTCCCACCAATGCGGTTGATTTCCCTGGTTCAAATTTGATTGAAAATCCTTTAAAGATCATGGCACTAGGCCTTGTGGGATAAGCAAAATCGATGTCAAGTAACTCAATCTGCCCCCTGACCTTGTCGGGCTTATGCCCTGCCGAATCCTCTGGTTCAATTAACGACTTGCGGTCAAGGATAGCAAATACAGAACTTATGGTGTCCCATCCTTTAGTTAGATCTTTTGTCATTATTCCGGCATTGGCAATGACACGACCCGTTTCAGACAAAATCATGAAGGATTGCAAGAAACCTCTTGCTCTAAGAGACCCATCAACAACGAGCTTACCCCCGTACCAGTAATCAAGAGCCCAACATAACCTCAAGAGACCCGAAGATGTGGCGAGGCCGATTCCAGCAAACCATGCTTGTCGAATACTTTCTTGTCGGGGACCTACTTGGGCTTTCTCCATTATTTGAAGGATTAGAGCTTGAGCATTGAATGAGGCAACTGTCCGAATATTTGTGACTGCTTCAGCTGCAATCTTGCTACTTTCTTCTTGGAATTTGATGGCTTTCTTCGTCAGCGTTTTGAGGAGTACATGCTTCATGTAGAAGGAAAAAATGACCAGTGGTTGAACAACTACCAGCACCCAAGCTAGCCTCCATGAAATAAAGAACCCCATCACATAGGATAAGGTCACTGTCGAAAATGTTTCGACGAGAAGTGCCATTTGATCTATCATTAATGACCTTACCTGTAAAATCCCAGCAAAAAAAAAAAAAAAATCTTAAATCATGTTGGAGGGAGTAATAAATAATCAAGAAGTTTCCTCTATGAAAAGGGAAAGGGAAGAGCTTACGGTAGCTGCATCTTTTCCCAATCTGGAGCAAATGGTGCCAGTTGCGTTTTCATCACGATCATACCAACCTATTTCAAAAGTGAGGATCTTTGAGAGCAAAGTTTCTCTGATCCTAGCGGTCAAGTTCTCCCCCATTGATGCAAAGTTAAAATGCTTGCATATGTTAATCAGGATTGCGAACAGTGTCAATGACACAAAAAGGATACAATATATTTTTGTCATTTTCTTGATCTCTTCATGATCGTGTAGGAAATACACCGATGCCATTCCTCCCCTTGCGATACCATACATTGGTGGGATTGCGCCAACTAGTATTGCACTTATGAGGCCTGCGAACGCCTGTTTCCATTCTGGCGAGCTCATGGCAAGTAATCTTCCAACGGAGGGAGCTCGATCCCCTGAAACCGCACCATGCTTAGCCTGATGAGTAGTAGTGGCAACGGTGCTAGCAGAACTAGGCCTACTATTACTGGATGTTGAAGCTAACGCCGCACTGGAACTAATCTTTGTTTTGCTGTGGGCAAATTGGGTGTCCGTTTTGGTATTTTGTAGACGGACTAGGGAGGTATACAAACCGCCAGTGTCTTCAATGAGCTCGTCATGCGAGCCGGCCTCCACAACCTTGCCATTTTGGACCACGGCAATGAAGTCCGCCTTACGGATGGTAGACAGACGGTGAGCTATGACCACACTGGTGCGTCCAGTGGACACCTTTTCTAGAGTTTCTTGAACAACTCTCTCTGATTCGGAATCCAGTGCACTTGTGGCCTCATCAAGAAGAAGAATTTTGGGAGATCTGATAATGGCTCTTGCTATTGCTATCCTCTGCTTCTGCCCTCCTGACATTTGAATCCCTCTCTCCCCCACCTGGATTAATTAAAATGGTTAATTAAAAGTCGAACATATATAATGCCAGCATTTGCAAAAATTTGACCGAAAACACAGTAGGTATTCCTAATGAAATCATCTGTATAATTAGGGTAATCTGATCTCATGAGCATTTTGACTAACATGGCGAAAATAAACTAGTATTTTATTGTTTATATGCTGGGAAGGGCAAGCAAAAGACAAACCTGTGTGTCATAACCATGAGGCAATTGACAAATGAAGTCATGAGCATTAGAAGCTTTCGCAGCCTCAATAACCTCCTCAAGAGATGCATTCTCCTTGCCAAACAATATATTGTCTTTAATTGTTGTGGCGAAAAGGGCTGGCTCTTGACTCACTACCCCCATCTGTGACCTTAACCACTTGAGTTGTAATCTATGAATGGGTACCCCATCAAGTAGGATTTCGCCGCCGATTGGGTCATAAAACCTTTGGAGCATAGCAATAGATGTTGATTTTCCACAGCCACTCCCTCCCACAAGTGCAGTCGTACTTCCAGCAGGGATTCGAAGACTAAAATCCTTCAACACGATGCTGTCAGGTCGCGATGGATACGCAAATTGCACGTGCTGAAATTCAATATCTCCCTTAACATGTTGTAAAATTTCTGCTTCCATGTTGTCTGAATCCATCTTGGGAAGTCTTTCTATGATTTCCATTATGCGTTCAGCTGCTGCACCGGCTTCCGAGAAGTAATCCAAGTTAGATACACAAGTACCTAATGATCTGTTCAAATGTGAAATACAAAAAGAATTATTTTCACTTTGTCTTTTGGCTGCACTGACACGCACGCACGCACACAAGAAATTGGGAAACATGAAAGCTTACAATCCTCGATAAACTAGGATAGATACAACTGCAAAAACGGTTCCCCCTTGAGCGCCATGGTACATGACCAATGTACTACCATAATAATTCAGGAAAGCCCCAACTGAGTACATTATGGCATTGCTACCAACCGCCAATCCTTTGGCAAAACCTTGTCGTTGCCCTAATCGAATCGTCCCCTGAAGAGAATTGGAATACTTTGCTACTGTTTTAGCCTCTCCAACAAAGGAATAAACTGTTCGGATGGAAGAGATTGATCGCTCCAGGATTGCACCAGCCTTATTATATTCTTCCCTCAACCTTCTGGAAATGCCCATCAGAATTCTCCCGTACACCACACCCGGCATTATCAGAAGCACAAGGAATGGCAATCCAACAGCGGTTAGTCTCCAGAGTATGAAGAAAGCTGCAATGTAAGCCCCTACAAACGACGATAGGTTCGACACGAAATATGGTACCTATATATTTTCATATATAACAACACCATCACATTCCAGATTCTAATCATATTTTCAAATTTTAATGATAGTGATACATATCCAATGCTTTCATTTTTACAAATAAACATTGATGAGAAACGGTGAACCAACCTTTTCACTGATAAAATCCTGGATGACAAGACTATCGTTGGAAATAGTGGCAACGACCTCGGATGTATCTGTAGATCGTAAGTCGAAGTAGGCGATTTCTTGTCTAAGCACCGCTTTCAGATATGCCGTTCTCATGCTGGACGCTTGCCTCTCTGCTGTTCTTGCCCAGCAATAACCCTCTGAAATATGTAGTTGTATATTATTATATAATTAAAGTTCACTACGGATTTTGAAGTAGCAAGGAAGTGAATTTTAAAAAAAAAAAAAAAAGAAAAATCCGAGAGAAAGAAAGAAAAAAAGAGAAAAGCATCATAACCATAGCTTACCAAGAAAACAAGCAATCCCCTGCCCAATTGCTATGTAGCAGAAAGCAAGCGAATTCTGCAGGTACGTAGTATAATTAATCACCCAAATGCCATTCACAATGGGGTAAGAAATACAGTGCTAAGATTGATTGATTGGATATATATCATCAGCTGACAGCAAGAAATTGAAAGAACAACCGACCTTGTTAATGAGGCTCATAGCTTCTTGTCGTTGAGCGCCCCTTGGTAATGATTCCGAAGTTCCAATGACATTTACGAGTCTACCCATGGTGAATGCTGATGCCGGAAGCGCTAGGCCGTCGCAAACAGCTCCTAAGAAGCCGATGAGCATCAACAGTTTGTCAACTCCATCTGCGTGCTGGAAAATCGATACGAGGGATCCCACCAGGCTCTTCTTCGTCTTCTTTTCCTCCATCCTTCCTTCTTCTTCCGCAACTGCAACCCTACAATGAGATTTGATACATAATTCTCTTCATCCTACCCTTTATTTATACACCATTTGGTACTCATTTTTAAAAAATTTTCTAGTACGTCCATCTCCAGATGAAGGTGATGATCGAGTGCATGGAAAGTGGGCTTCCACCATTTTTGTTAGTTCTTGGAATTAATTAATCACGTGAGTGAGTAAATCATTGTCTAATCACGTGGGTAATTCACCTTTATGCACGGTTCTGATATATTTATATATATGTTCCAAGAATCATTCTCTAATCTCTGATCTAGGTACATTTGTTTTCATTAAGGATTCTCTGTTTTAGGATATTCATTTGCACTGTTTTCGCATTAAGGAAATAAGAGTTTTTTGGGAGTCCGAGCTAACAAATTGGGTTCAGGTTCCTTAATGTTGTTCTCTCTACTTCAAAACAGTCCACATTTTAAGTTTTGAACTTTTTACTTACAAAATAGTTCACATTAAGTTTTTTGAGATTTGTAAATCTCAAAATTTCGAGAAAAAAAGAAATAAAGTACAAATTTCAAAACTCAAATTAGACTATTCTTCTGATAAAGATATACAAGATATATCGTATAAATCTCAAAATGTGTGAACAATTTTCTTTTTTTTAGATTGTAGTACAATGGAGAAGTATCCTTCACCAGATGGAACTCAATTCTCCTATCTCAAGACCTTCCCCAGTTGTTTGGGGGCTAACAATAAAATATGCAGCTCCAAGACCCTTATGGGCTTTTTCCTCTACTTTCTTATTGGGATTTGACAGCCTTTTTTCTCTTTTTTTTTTTTGTCGTCATTTTGAGTAGCACATGTCTTACATAGCTACAAACTTATGTACAATGGAGCTTTACAGCTCGTACGGAGCATTAGAGAAAGCTCCGAAGTCATGCTGGACCCAGACTTAAGGGCTATTCAGAATCTTTTGGCATTGAACTGGGAAGTTTGCTTCGAGCATACTTTTCGGGAGAACAATATATCTATGTGCAGACTCGTTAGCTAAAGCTGCATTAGATGTAGATAGAGGGCAATATTTTTTTTAATGTCGCCCCCAGATTTATCTCGTTGTTGTTAGAAAATAACTCTTGAGGATAGTTTTGTTGTATTCTTTTCGTTCTACAATTATTGTCCAGTTCGGTTTTTTATTTTTAATTTAAATTGTACTAAAAATAAAATCTCAAACTAGACAATAATTTTGAGACAGAGGGAGTATTAGTTTAGAGAAATGCCTAAACCCTGTTGTTGACCAAATAAAAATTAAAAAAAAAAGGTTTGCTACAAACGAAGAGTATTGTCGGAATCGTGAACCCATCACAAACAGTTCCTAAGAAACCGATGATTGTCAACACTTTATCAACTCCGATGCCGTGCCTGAAAACCTAGCGCGCGTCAAAAGGCGCAATTTTTTTAAAAAAAATTTTAACTTTATTACTTTTATTATTTTTTTAATTTCTTTTTTCTTTTTCTGTAAAATTATTTTATTTTATCTTTTAATTTAAAAAATAAATACAAAATGTATTTAGTTATGACTCGTAACTTTGGTTACTACGCAACATAAATTATAATCTTTTCTCGGTTCTAATATCCTAGCGAATATGTATAAGCAAACATCAATGCGGCAAATTTATCTTGCCTACCGTCTCTGTAACTAATATAAGATAATTTTTTTTCGATTGTAATATTCGAGCGGCCATGTATAAGTAAGGCAAGTGTAAGAAGCGACTGAAACTGTGTCCAAAAATACTTTATAAGGTTAAAAAATTAAAAAACAAAATTAAAATCAAAAGGTTAAAAAAAGAAAAGAAAAGAGAAATTAAGGGGCTCGCAGACACAATAAGCTAGTATTATTTGCCCAATGCATCAATGTCAGATAAAAATGTAAGGTACGAGAATCACGTCGTCCGATCTTCCGTTCCTATCGAACCTTGATTACTGATTAGCTTAATTTCCAATAATCAATATCAGATAAAAATGCTTTTCACCCGGCCAATCAAGGGCCAGCCATTCTTCAAATGTGTGTTAACCCAGAATATGCTGTGTTCAACAATCACAAAGTAAAATAATAAGACTAATGAAAGTGGAACCTAAAAGGAAAAACTTATTAAAATTAATAATCAAACAAACTTAGACGATTTTGAAACTGATCATAATTCTTCATTTGAATGATATTTAGAAGAATTATATTTAGAGAAAAGATGATGATCATTAGTTGACGCATTAGGATAAAAAACATTTATCTCAAAACCCTTATAGATCAAAGTGACGCTCAACTCAATCGCCCAATACGAACATGGAATCCATAGACGAACGATGATGCATGAATATTCTCTGTGGACTCGGCAGTGGCAGTGGACTTTTGAGTTTTGGACGGCCTTCTTTCTTCTCTTTGTTTTAATGATCATGCTAAACAAAAATCAAGGTCTCCGTTAGAAGAAAGCAACACATCAACAAAAGGGGAAAACTAAACCCCTAATCTAAAAACAATTACCATGTTGCTTTCTGAATCTTTCTATCCGCTATCGATTCTAATTAGCGAGGAGTGGTCTCCAGGTATCCTCCGACGAGAGCATTCGCGGCGTTGGAATAAGTCGATGGATGTAGAGAATCAGTGGACGAAACTAGGTATTCACCAAATTTTGAATCGGTCGATCTGACGCCGATGGATCAGAAGGGCTTGTATTTATCCTCTCGTCGTTGGTTTCTGCCTCAAACCCATCGTCTTTCGGGGTGCAATCATATTCAAAAGATCTTGAAATAGATAAAATTAGGGATTTACGGATTTTAGGGATTAAGGATTTAGAGATTATATTCAATTTTGGGATTTAAATTTTGATGGGCGATTTTCAGAAATAATAACTCATGATGAGCAATTTATGGTATATATAATCAGTCATAATTTGTGTTTCAAAGAGATAAGAGTTTCAGAATGTAAATCCCTTGAATTGGGTAATCTTTAATGTGATCATTTTGTATTTTATAGAATTATGGAGCCTTTTTTTTTTGGATGAACACATGACACGTGGCATCATTCTTTTGCAAAAGATGTATTTTTTTTGTTTAGGTAAGAAAAAAACTTATGTGAAGCTGACACGTGTCCTAAGTGTCATTTGCTTTCATGAAATGTAAAAGGATTGGTTGGTCGCACTAAAAAGATGGGTACAGCAAGTGTAAAAGGATTGGTTGGTCGCACTAAAAAGATGAGTACAGCTGTTGTATACTCCCTCCGTCCCATAATTATTGTCCACTTTGCCAAAAAAATTTTATCCCAAAATTATTGTCCAATTTGACTTTTTATGGATCAAGTTACACATTTGTCCTTAGTAAAAAACATTATCCATAAAATCTTAGTGGTTAAACAATTACTTATGTAGGGGTATATCCGGTTGTTTAAGGTAAAATATAGTTAAGTTTAACCAAAAATAAAATCTTTCATTTTAGTAAAACTGGACAATAATTATTGAAGGGATGGAGTATTAGATTTTCTCCAACTGTGTCTTCTCTCTTTAGTCTTTCGACAATTTCATTGTTGTCTAGTTTTTTTTTTTTTTTTTTTTTTTTGATAATATCATTTTTCCCTTTATAAATGCGCACAGATACGTTCTGCCTAAGTTGCATCCGCAAAGGCAAAGCGGCTCCTTATCGGTTTCCGTACGTATGGGTTTTTTCGCTGTCGGTTACGGTTTTTATTTTTATTTTTTTCTCTGGGTTAAATTAAGCTAATCAAGGAACGTGCGAGACGTCTTGCCTAAAGTTGAACACATTTTCATGCAAGACGTCGGTGTTGATGGCTTGGAGAAGCATGCTTCTCCCTTGTTAGCTTCCAAAACAACTGGTGAAGGTCTTGACATAGGAGAATTGAGTTCCAAAACAACTGGTGAAGGTCTTGACATAGGAGAATCAAGTTCCAAAACAAGAAATATTCCCCTCCCAGCAGGTGATTTACAGCGGAGGTCTCAGTTCGAAATTCGACGTTTTTGTTTCTTTTGTACTAGTACTTAATTTTATTTTTGGTTGGTCCCTTAAAATCCTCAAATCATGAATTTAATTCAACTTACTAAATTGCTAATAATTAATGTACAACAGAACAACATTGTGAATTGATTAGAAACATTATTCAATTAATAGTTTAGTATTCATCTTGAGAGACGCTAGCGAGACCACGCCATGTAACTTTCCCCTAAGAAGCATTTTATGTGTTAATCCACAAGGCCAGATGATGATACGTCTTGAACTGTCATACTATTTGTGAGTATTTGTGAAAAATTTTGGATTCGATTGTGCACTTATATTATGTATTTTGATGTTTTTAAATCTTAAGAGTAGTTGAAATGAATTGGAGCAAAATGTTACATAAATGTATATTTTTAGAGCATTTTGACAAGAAAGTATAAGGATGGAGCAATGACATCGCATTCTCGCATGGTCACATAATTCGCAGTCCAAAATTGAGCACTGGAGAAGAAATTCCAGCATTGATTCTGTGTTCCCGTTTGGCCAAACCAAAACAGGGACTAAACTGAAAAATTAAAGAAATTCTAGTGTGAAATTAAAAATAAATAAAACTTCAATGACTAAACTATAAAATTCGTCAATCTTTTTTCCTCTCCAGCGGCTGACCTATTTTCCCAATATAAATAGATTAGTTTTCTCTTTCTTTAAGGGGGGCTGAACGTGAGAAGGAAAGGAGGAGACTAAAGGGGTCCTAAGCCGCCAATCTAGCCATTTTGGGCGTTATTCTTCTTTGTTCTCCATAGTTTTGTTTTCATAAGACTTCATTATGTGTAACTAAATTATTTTTCTAGTTAAAAGATATTGAAACCTTAGTTCTTAATAATTGTAAGATGTTAATGTTCTTCATGTCTCAATTCTTTGTGAGTATTTGCGTGTTCTTTTGAATAATTGTTATTATTATTTTGGATTCATGAATAGTTGGTGGCATTCATTGTTTCATGATAATAAACAACAAA